GTACAGTATATTTACACCTGCTATAAATATGGGGTTTTTTTTGTTATGGGTTTGAATATATATATATATATATATATATATATAAAACTTAAAAGCTGAATCGGGAAACATATATAAAATAAAAACTCTTGAGAGGTGTCTAGTGTTGCCAAAAGTAGTTTATATATATACATATATATATATATAATATATATATATATTATATATATATATATATATATAATAGAAGTGTATATGTGACACAATCACACTTCTACTCCCCTATACAATAAATGTTATAGGCCTATGTACGATCTTTTATAATAGTAATACTAGGCCTACAGTGCTGCTGGCAGCAACACTGATTCTATATAAAAAATACACATACCGTATGTATTATGTAATATATATACGTGTTGTATATAGGCCTATGTATACGGTTTACGGATTTTAGTTTCAAGTTAAGTGTTTCTTGCGCAGAATTTCCACAACAAATGCAAAAAATGATACGTTTTGGGATGCTCTACTAACATTAGGACATGAAATTAATAATTATTCTCACCATTTTATTCCTAAAACAGATTCTATAAAGAGAGAGTGTTGATCTTTGGTATATGGTTTGGCAAACAAAAACCACTGATGTCTTCATTTATGGGCCCACTGATACCGGTGTTCAATGACTTATACAAAAACGGTAAGTAACAATTTCGTTTCATTAATGTTTAAAAATAAATATTATATGTATACACATTACTGTACATACAATTATAGTATGTTAAGTAGTACCGTAGTTCAATTAAGCGAACACTGGATACCACATTGCTCATCGTTGTGTAGATATTGCAATCACTAAAGGGCAAGTTACTGAAAAAACAACAATGTTTTGGGAAACAATGGCTGAATCTCGATAGATACAAATTTGATAAGCAAAAGCTAAAATGTAAACGTATAAGTAAACAGTCAGAAATAGAACCGGAGCTTTCGGACAACACTGTTCCTTTCTCAGTGGCGTGTGAGTGAGGGTAGAAAAATCCAGATAGTAGGAAGTCAGAAATTTGAAATGCCATTGATTAGTGTACTAGCAGAATGTTCATAATACTGATACCAAAGGGTTTTAAATAAAATTTCCCAGTGATTTTTTTTATCCTTAAAATTTATATATAATATTGATATTGATTATGAGTTATTGATTGTTATGGCTAATTATGAATTTTTTTTTTAACAGGTGTGCAAGTTCGTGGAAACACATTCAGACTTAAACTACTCTCTGCCACAGTGGATGTGTCGGCGATGAGCCTGGTAAAGAATACCGAACACCATAGTGGAAAACATGGATGTGGTCTGTGTGAAGATGAGTCAGTTTCAGTCGCCAAGGGGAGAGGTCACACAAGCGCCTATTTATGCCATGATGGTAAAAGTGTTAAGAGGACCAATATGAGGATGCAATCTCAAGCTCGAGAAGCATTTGATATGAGCGATGATGCGGATGCATCAGTAAGCACAGTAAATTCTAGTTATTTGATCACTTACACTGCATTATTTTCATTTCAATCATTTTTATAGGGGCGTCAACATTAACGAGTGAAATTACATTAACAATGTCATAAAGAAATACCTTTTAATGTCGACAGAGCCTGTCATTAGTGACCCTAAAATAATAACAATAAGCATTAGGAAGTATTTGAATGGAATTCAAGTGATTTAATATGTAAAACTAGCGCATTTAAAAGTGTTTGGTGCGGAAGTTGCAATTTGGACTCATATTTTCAAATCTGTCGCTGGGCTCTTCGTTTTTATATATGTATAAGCAAAAATACACTATGGATTTAGGCTTAGGGTCACGGGAGACCAAAATCCGTCCGATGCTGAATTATTAATCTATACGTACCTAATGAAATGTTTGGATATATCCAAAGAAAAAATGAACCTTATACCAATAATTATTTCACAACAGCAATTTCATCTTGACTGATTTGGTCAGCAAAGCATCTTCCGAAACATCACGCTACCTTGCGCGCTGCGTGTAAATGAGGAAGCAATCTTTGTAAACGTTATATTTCAGTTGTTAATGTTACCAAAAGTAATATCTGTTTAGGTATATAGAAGAAAAATGAACCTTCTTACACCAATATTTTAATTATATATTTTACAACAGTAGTTCCATGTTGATTGATTTTTTTTCAGCAAATCTCTTATATAATTTCATGTACTTCTTACAGGTGAAAGGAGTTAAAGGATACTCTGTGCTGTCTTTGGTTAAAGACGTAGATGTGTCAACTCACATGACGGTGGATTACCTACATGGTACTTGCTTAGGCGTCATGAAAGCTATGATTTGTATGTGGATCCGTGATAAACAGAAACCATACTATATTGGCAACCGACTAGTGGAAATAAATCGTAGGTTGAGGAAAATAAAGCCAACAGATGGTATAACGCCAGGTCCTCGTTCAATAACTAACGAAATATCCCATCTCAGAGGTTAGTTTCAGTCAGTTTGAATCATGAATACCGTAGTAGTATTTAATTTCCTTATCTCAAAAATATGTATATTTTTCTGGAATGAATTCGTCATGTTAATGAGTTTGGTTTTGTGCGTTTCTACAGTGCCTTCTGCATCTCAATTTACATTGTTAATTTACAACTAAATCAAAAAATACCGTAGTAAACGTGTTTTAACCACAAGTATGAATGCGCCTTGATTGATTGAAGATATACGTAGGCCCTACAATAGACATAAAGGGAAAAAAAACCTTATCCACACAATTTCGCGACACCTGACGAATGACTAATGTACAGACAATGAGTTTTGTTTTGCTTTAATTCTAGCATCAGATTTTCGTTCGTTTCTCTGCTACTATGGAATGATGGCGCTGAAAGGCATCTTACCCGACGACTACTATGTCCACTTCTCGATGATGTCCATCGCCATTCACACCCTTTCAAAGGACGATATAGCTGCAAAAGATCTGACAATTGCTAACGAGTTGTTGCGCAAGTTTTACCCTCTCTTTGAGGTATATTATGGTATGTACTTTTGATTTATATTGAACATTCGTTTGGACACAATTATGAATGTTATGAATTGATATTTCCTTAAAATAAAAACAGGTATCACAAGTATAGTAAGAACATACCTAATGGAGGTATTTTTTTCCACATCAATTCCAAAGTTATGGGTTGTGTCGAGAACAAAAATATTTTAATTACATTTTAAAACTCAGTACATGATTTTATAATGTTGGCTTTTAAATCATTTAAGATATTTTAACACAGTTCATGGAGGGGAGGGGGACGTTATGCGAGATACGTAGTACCGAGCGGGGTGGGGTGTTCCCCTTCCTACTGCTGGGTGACGCCAAGGATCCCGGTTGGGTCCAGGGGGCTAAGCCCCCTCGGAGGTAGCGCATTTTGAACGTTTAAGGACTGTTTTGAGAGGATAAAGTAAAAATTGCAATAGAAGCATCATAAATAGTATTAATAAGCCTAACAATAATTATAATAATAACTCAATAGTGGCGGATCCAGAAATTCGAAAGAGAGGTGACCCAGGGAGAGACTTTCCTAGACTGAGGGTCCACCCACTTCAACCCCACCATAGTTGGGGCTGAGGGAAGAAAATTTATGATGGACACTTCTGGATGGCCGGAAACACACTCTCAGACTTAAATTTGAATAAAACTTTCTTTTTTTTCCATCAAAACAATTTAGGTGGGGGCCTTGAATCCGCCACTGCTCAAAATATTCTTTATATAAAATAGTCATGATCACGAAAAATGGGCATGAAAAACCAGGTCACATCCTGAACACAAGTTTATGCACCTTCGAAATTACACTCTTTGTCAAAATTCATCATAATCTCATCATCATTAGGCCTATATATAGTCAAAGAAAGCGCCATCAAATTTCTCATGTTCTTTTATCAGGGATTTTCGGCAACCAAAGAGATACTGTATGATCTTAATATATGTGTGATGTACCATAGAAAATAAAGCTTAAAAATATTGTCTTTGATGCATGAAATTTACATAATTCAAAGCCGTAATTTCACAATCTTAGCCCCATTATGGTTGGGGCTGCGTGCGATGAGAAAATTTTAGGAAATAGTACCTGTAGATGGCTGGAAATTTATCATCACCACTATGCCAACAAATTTCTCATGATCATTTATCAGGGATTTTCGGCAACCATCGAGATCTAATTAATATCCATGACAAATTAGGCCTAAATATACTAAAGCTTTAACTACTATAATAATTATGATCAGCAAACCAAAAATTTCTTTTTCGCCTTTAGCACAATTTTTGATATTATTAATATTATTATCTATTGTCATAATCACCATCGTCATCATCATCATCATCATCATCATAATATTACTACTACTATCTAGTAGTAGTATTATTAAACAAAACTTAAACGCTTGCAAAAAGGTTAACAATTAAACTGAACCATACAATCCGCCCCTTAAGCGGCAGCCGATAAAACCGAAAATTTTAATTTTTGCATTATCGTGTCATAGTGAAAAATGTAATAATCTAACGAATATTCCACTGGGTTACCTGGTTAGCGGGTGACTTTCATTGATAGATGTTTATGGTGGGTTTCTATCAGAGCACTGTTTACAAACAATAGTAGAAGGAGTCAATTAGCAATTGTACAGCATTTAAATCAACACCAAACTGTGCGTATATAACTTGTGCTGATGCATATTTACATATTTTAGAAATATTCTTTTTGAGTGATTCCAGGAATGAATTTGTATTGGCTTCCAAGAACAAAATTCTAACACTGTTAGAAGCAAACTCACATCGAAATAATCTTTATTTCATATTATTATCTGTTATCCATTCTGCCGAATTGACTCTTCATGTTTCGTTAATACCTACAGGACAAGAAAACTGCACAATTCACGTTCACAACATGTGTAGGCACCTTGTAGACTCGGTCAGGAGAAGTGGACCCGTATGGTCATTTGGCTGTTTCAGCTTTGAGAGTAATTATGCACAGATGGTTAAGTACGTTAGAGGAAGCAACGGCGTAGGAATACAGGTACAGTACATGTCATAATTTAGTCTTTTAGCCCTTTAATTATTCATAGAATTCTCAATTTGTGCGGGTTATGCTAAATTTTATTGGTTATTGGTAGATCAAAGTTGGCGTGGCACACCCTTTGACGATATGTAGGAGTTTTAAACCTCGTTGTCTGCTCATGACACAGCTCTCAATAAAAATAAATAAATAAATAGAAACCAACAGCAGTTATATTTAATGCAAATATGTCCAATTATTTTCTTTTAATAAATAGGTTATTAAGAACTACAGTTTGCTGAAGCGGGCAAGAAGTTTGGCAGAAGCAGCAAGCTGCAGCGAAGTATCAGCAATCCTTCTGCACAGAGTGTTGGGAGACGACTACACAAGGTCAGTAGGCCTAAGTCAACCTAAAATATATTTTCATACGAAGTGAAATCAGTAGCTATAGTAATTTGAAAATACACTACAGTAGTTTATGCATAATAAGGAAAAAACCTATGCTTTCAATTTCTACTATATTCCACTTTAACCAGAAATCCTGATGGTATATTTAAGTACAAACGATCCTACGCCTCAACATTTGACATAGAGGAGTTAAAGAAAAGGTTAGATTGCGAAGACGTTACCGCCATGAAGATAACAAAGACAAAGCCTAAGGAAGGAGGCGAGATACTGCATTCATTGGAAGCTGCCCAGAAAAAATCAAGGATTTCTTATGTAGTGTCGTACATGGACAACATCAAAAAGTATGGCCGAATCTCGTACTTCCTTGAAGTTGTCGACAAAGAGAAAGACACACTGACACTGGCCAGGATACAACCGAGTGTTATCATTTCTGAAAATGCTTTTAAGAATGGATGCGAAAACAGCTGGAAAGAACATGGCCTTAAGGACAGGACTGGCAGTCATGCCAAGGAAATTGAATTCAAAGGGTATGCGCACATTTTTTTCTCGTCCTTGATTTAAAATTTAAAATAGGACAAATAAAAAAAGTCTTTAACAAGTTTAAACAGGATGAGCAGGCCTGCAACCATGGACGTTTCTATGGTTTCGTTTTTGAAAATTACACTTACGTTTTTAAGAAATTTGATCTGTTTTGAAAAATTTGACAGTGATTAATTTTACAACTACACTTTGATTTCAACATACACTTTTGTTACCTACAGAGCCCCATGTGTGATTCTGTCTTATAAAGATGTCTAAGTAATAATGTGTCTTGATAGATGCCTGATAAGGCCAAATAAACAAAATTTTTTTTGGCCACGCCCGACCGACCAAAATTGTTCGAACATGAGGGTCGGCATTTTAGTTTTTTTTTCTTTTGACTACAACGAAAAATATTTTTTTTTAATGAGCTAAAACTTTTCCTACCGAGCTATTCATTTTTGGATTTTTCCAAAACGTGGCCAACACAAGAATTTTTCCCCCTTTTTTTTTGGCCTGTCTTCATATTTTACTTTGATAAACATAAATAAGTTTATGTATATTTTTGTTTTATTACAGGTGTGATTCCGTCTTAATAGACGTTCGTGATATTGTTTCGAAAGTTCTTTTTATGGAGACGGGACCTGATCGAGGTGTTGTACTTCCAGTTGCATGCAGATGGGAGCAGGATTAGAATCTACTAGGCCTATGGTGTGTCGGCTGTTTGACTTCTGAGTATCTCCAGACTCATTATACCAATCCATTGACGTTTTGTACAGTTCCAGTATCACGAGTCACGCATTCTGTAACTTTTACATTGTGCTAAACTGATCTGTCTTATTTCAATACAGTACATTAGTCCGATGTAGCTAAAACAATACATTACATTATTTAGGCCTAATGTTTATTTCATGGCAATGATCTTGATAGCGAAACATTTTAATATGTATTCTGCAGTATACAAGTTTCGAAAAGAAGAAAACTTTATTAAACTGCTATATTTTAACTTTTGACTATTGATGATGTCAGGCCTAGGCCTACATACGGGCCTCCGTAGTTGTTTTATCATGGAGCGCTTAAAATCTATAAATGAAAAATGGATAAAATGTTTTATACGTGTATGAATGATTACACAACTTGCATTTTACAGTTTCTGCATGTTTAGTTCCTTGCATGATTGTTTATTTTTGTATAAAACAACTTTCATGATCTATTTGGAGTTTAAGAGTAGTTTGATAGATGTAGGTATGATAAATACTATAACTGCTAGTATATTACTTTTAAATACTTTGTAAAAACAGAGTGGAGGATTATAAACGCAAAGCTCCACGCAATGTTGTCCTGTCTTTGGCGACACGTTTAAAAGCTAAACGTATTTAGATATATCTTAATGTGTTTAGGTTCTTGACAGTGTTTAGAATTAAATGTGCTTAGGTATTTGACATCATGATGACTGGCCTAAACATATTAGGCCGGTCACCAAAGACAAGACAACATTGCGTGGAGCTTTGCGTTTAAATTCTCCACGCTGTTTTTACAGTGTACTGTACATTTAAAAAACGCATAGTCTTAAAAAAGAAAAGATGACTGAGAAACAAACACATCTACTAATCTTCATTTACTGTATTCAAATACATTTTTTCTCCATTGTGTTCCTGTCACGGTTGACGATTTAAGTATTTGTACAAATAAAAAAAAATTAATTTAATTCTAAAACAACCAATCTGTATAGGCATAAATAGGACGCACAGTTTCGGACTTCGCCCTTGGTCAGGTGCAATGTTATTATTATGTACGATACTGTGATAGTGGAGATAAAACAGTAAAATTGTCAACGAGTAACACGTTCTCTTTGGATTTCTGTTTGTTCAGTTAAATGTACAAAACAATGTGCTTGCTTTATACTAAGCTAATTGCAGATTCATTTGATTCCAAAACAACATTATATTGTATTATTAAAAGTAATGACAGTACAAAAACAAGATGAGTTAAATATTCTATTCTATCATGGTAGATAGGTTTGAAATGTTTTTGTATTACACTGTAGAATAAAGTGAACAAAAATGTATAATTTTTTTATATTTATTTTGTGTTTGAGAATACGATGTTTTTTTCCCAGACAAAATCCTAATAGTAAAATAAGTAAACAGATATTTAATCCCTTAAATCATTGTGGAGAGAGCTAAAGCCGAAATCATACGGTAACATACAAACACACAGTGATAATATTAAATTTGTTTTATTTTTACAACAAACAACTATACAATCATAAACTGTACATTCATCAATAATCACTAACCATTTACAGCATCAGTTTGTAATAAGGTTTTGTAAACAATAGTGTATACCAAAGATAACAATACTAAATAGATCCTTGTCATCGGAATTACACATTATTTTAATGGCAAAATAATCAATTTCTTGATTTGCTGCATTTGCTCCCCACTGAACACCTCAATTGTGAAGTTTTCATTGTGAAGATGATGGACTGTTCCTAAGAACATTGAAACGACAAATGACAAGACTCTATTTTAGGTATGTTCTTTCATTCACTTATTTCAGATACAAAATCCATATACCATAAATATTATAAATATTGTACAAAAAATGACCTTTACAACTAAAGCCTATAAAATAATATAAGAACATAGACCAGAATGATCTAGGCCTACTTCAACTTCTCACTCTCTATATATATCTATAAATCAATCTTGATCATTTTTGGTGGAGATTAGATTAAACAATAAGCAATTATTAGAGCTGCGAATAATACACTAGTAGAAATTATTATATGAAAGTTAAATTAATGCCTGAAAAATGTACCAGAGGGCTTGCAAGGCAAGGTCCAAAGGAACTTTTTGAGTGCATTAATGAATGTTATATATTTAAGAAATGAAAAGAAAATTGTAATTTTGTGAAAGACGGACTATTCTATTTAACTCAGCTCCGCCTCGTTGAATGGAACAGGTCATTTTTCAACTCATAAATATATTTTTTTTTCATAAACATTTAATATTTGTAAAATGGTGTATATGGTGTATACACACACACATATAATTTGATTCAAATTTTTGATAGACTTAGAATTGTGAATTCAAATTATTCTGATTTTTCAACAGATAAAAATATTTATTCACTATATACAAATCCAATTACAGGAGTTCTATAGAGGGCACCTTCTATTTGTGACAACCTGTAAATAACACCCCTATAGACTAAATGGTGGAACCTAGGAAAATAAGCTACAGTATGTAGATGGGTTTGGGATGGTGGAGGGTATCATTAAATAACCTTCCACTGTATTGCCGACAAGTTGTCTACATTGTATTATTTTCAGAACACCGGACCTAGCTTCATCGTAACTGGGGTAACAATTTTGGAGGCACTGCCCGGATCTTAAGTGACAATATTACTGTAGCATCGGTACCAGTTATAATCTCAATCTTTATGGTATGGCGGAGCAAGAAGGACCGATTGATGTTGTTGCTAATGATGTAGATAATGCAGTAGACGGGGGAAGCGGCGCCAGATGAAACAGGCCAAATTCTGATGGTTTATGAACAGAAGCTAAAAGAAATGATGGCAGCTCACGAGGCGCAATTGAAAGGGCTCCAAGAAAAGTTTAAAGAAGCCCTCACTGTAAAAAAGAGTTGTTTACTGGAAGGACTTCAGAATAAGTGGCCAAATTGGAGAGCCAGGCCAAAAAGATAGATTAACATTTGGGAGTCTAGTACACCAAATAGAATCCGAACTTAAAAAAGGAACATAGTGAGACAGAGATTGTCGAAGCAGTGATAAAAGCTCTCATTCCTGGTTCAGAATTACGGGGATATTTGGAGGGGAAATGAGACTTGACATTAGCTACCCTTCGCAGAATTCTAAGGGCTCATTTTCAACAAAGTTGTTTAACCAGCTTTCATGTAAGGCACAGCAGTCAAGTGAATCTGCCCATACATTCTTACTGCAAGTACTTGACCTAAAACAGAAGATAATCTTTGCGTCTAAGGAAGAAAATTGTCCAGTAAAATACGACAAATCGCTGGTGAACAGCATGGAAAAACATTCTCTCCTGACTGGCTTCCAGAAAGAGGAAGCCTGATCGGAGATGGCCCCTCTCTTTAGGAAACCAGACTTTAATGAACAAGAACTAATGGAATGCCTAAACATTGCAATTACCGACAATCAGGAAAGGCAGAAAAAGTTAAAATCAGGACGAGCTCGAAAAGTCTGCGTTGTGGAAACAGAACAACCAACTCAATTAAAAGAAAAAAAGATGACAAAATTTGATGACTTTGCAGATGAAATAAAACAGATGCTAGAGGTGCTTGAAAAACATGAACCTGCAGTACTACCAAGCAACAGGAAGGCAGCCAAGATTTGGTCAGAAGAGGGGTAACATATTGGTTCAACTACTGCTGGGAGTAGAAGTCTTTAGAATGGATAGCAGTGACAAGAAAATATGTGTGTTTGTACAATTCTAATATTTACATTTGCAAGAGGAAATGCAAGAGAATATTCTGGAGGTTTCCAGCGTTTGCAAGAGGGAGAATATTCACTGTAATGGGTCGGTATATGAGACTTGCCATCCCAAATGAGTAATTAGCATAAAGATTGTGGCAGTATTGCATACTTTAGGATAGAGAAGCCATAATACTTTTACTCATAACTTTTCAGACAATTTAAGTAAATGACCTATCATTTTAAAGCTTACAGTATGAAGAATATGAATGAATATGCAAGCCCCATATACTATTTTAAAATAAGTTGACAGATTTTATACGCAGCAGTAATTTTAAATATATTGCTTTCGTCAATTATCATTTTAAATTTAATTTTTTCCCTTGATTTGGTGGCCCAGAATTACTGACCATGCCAAGAATATTTCATAAAAATTCTGCATTAAAAAGACATCTGACACTCAGCTGTGGATGGATGGATCAATTGCACAACATATTGTTGAGATAAATAAATCTTTGTCACCATGGGATATAGAATAAATCAATTTTTTGATGAGGCTGGGAATGAGGCATATCACAGGCTTTCTATATCACTTCATACTCCCCAAAGCTGTAAGGGTTTTACTTCTGCTCAACTACTTCCCATAAGTTAGACAATGTGAAGCCATCTTTGAGTTTTTCGATTGCTAGACCAAGCTCCTTTGAAAATACAGGGGGACGATCTTTCTGCTTGTTGCCGTCTGCAAAGTAGGCCTGTGGGGATACATAAAAAATAAAATAGACCAATAAATTCATCTATTTATGTAATGATACATTAACAACAGAAAAACATAACAAAGATAATGGTATATGGTAACTAATAAAGATTTACATTTAAACAGTCTTGCTTTTAAAGCAACATAGTTTTTTAGTTTAAAAATAAGTTATTGTATAAAAACTTGTGCTAAACAACATGAGTCTATCATAAAAATAATGATACCTGAGCAAGTTTCTAATTTAATTAAACTGTACTAATACACACTTATATATAAAATTATCTTAAGAATTATTATTATTATTATTGGTCCATACTAAAATACAGAAAATTGAATTGCTTTGGTAGATGGATATAAAAAATATAATAAATATAATGAGACCCACTAATAAGCGAGTCACAGCGGAGCAGCGCCACCTAATTATCAAACTGCAATGGAATGAAGAGTAGGAAAGTACAAAATTATCACTAATGTACACAAACAAAAACAATGCGACTCACTGCAAATGCATCTGATGGCTCATCCTCCTCGACAATGTCCACATCATCTTGTACATTCTCAATTACTAGGTCCTCTATGTTACCAGGATGGTCATCGAGCTCAAATTCTACTCCAAATATTGGGTTGGAGCTGTAGACTCGGTGAAGACTCTGAATCTCCTTAACTACCTCTTTGAGCTTTTCAATGGGGTCTATTCTGAAGCCTAGGACAAATCCACCACTCTAAAATATTGTAGAAGATAAAATTAAATTTTTTATTATTCTATTTAGACCTGCATACAAAAAATAAACCTAATTAAAAACAAAACAGGAGAGATAATTTGAAAATACAAAACCTCATCTTGTTGCGCCATATCTATGTACTGAAAAAATAATGTCCCACAGTCGATCCACTCGAAAAGGCTTAGTCGAGCCAAACAATGCCTAGCATCATTAGGCCTTTGGCAAGCCCATCAATTGGGCGAATTTGCAAGTTAGCGGCCAGAATTTGACACACAGCGTACTCTGGCCATAGATGATCCGTTCTATTCTAGCCAAACTAGGCCGAATGATCCGCCCGAGTTGGCTATGTCTGTTGTTATATAAATAACATTCTAAAATCTGCATCTTACTTTCGATCAGCATTAAAGTCAGACTCCGGAGGAAAAAAATTTGTTGATATGTTGTAGAACTGATTTTTCTAAAAAACAGAAAAAAAGTTGTTTGACAAAGAACTGGGGAACGGTGAACGAGATACAGATTTTTAAATATTTAAAAACTGGGGGGAAAAAGGGGCGTAACCGCCCATTTTTACACCTTTTTCCCCTAGTTTTTAAATATTCACCGTTCCCCAGTTCTTCGTCAAACAACTTTTTCTCAGTTTTTGATCAAATAACTTTTTTCTGTCTTAGAAAAATCAGTTCTACAACATATCAAAATTTTTTTTCCTCCAGAGCCTGACTTTAAATTCGAGGAGGACCAAGATACATGTAACATTGTCAATGTGTGAAAATTTTAAGTAAATTGTTTTAGTAATGATTGAGTTATGCGCCCGGAAGGAAACACACACCACACACAGACGCTCGCTATTGCAATACCACTCACCTCTCCTTTGGAGAGGCAAAGGGTAAATACAGTTATAATGTTTTGTTACATGGGAATGTATATTGTGTATTGAAGTAGTATTTTGTTGGTTAAATAGATTATTAATGACAATTTGGTAACTACATGAAAGTGTTCACCATTACATAAAACAATTTCTCAATATCATCCAGAGAAACACAAAAATCATGAAACAATTGATCTTCCTACCTGTATTGAGGACTCAAGAACTAATGCCATGCCGAACTTAGATTCTCTGATTTTCACTGAACGCTGTAAAATCGAAAATTACAACGAGTTATTGATGTAAAGTGGTTGCAAGTCTGGTCTTAAGTGATTTTTCTTTATTCTTTTCCGTTGCATTTTTTTTCCCTTTTTTTTTTCTAAGTAACACACTTTTGCTGCCTTTGTGCTGCAATTTCTAATCAAGTTTTTGTGCTAAAGGCAGAAAAAAGAATTGGATGGTGGTGGAAGCAAGAGAATGAGACCTACTATTTGTAAATATGGTACACTGATGTTGAAGTTCTCATTCAGGTTAGCATACCACACCAATCTCACATTGGTGATGAAAAATGTTCCTAAGTTACCCTGAAATAAAAAAAAAAACAAAAAAACACCATCAGAATCAAAAATCATTATCTCACAATAACATTTAAAACCAACAACAACAAAAAATGCGATTTCTAGGGGTCCCAAGTTGGAAGAACCCATTTCAGGGAGATTTGTTTAATGACATTGGGGGCGCTATATTCTATGAGGAAAAAGTGTAGGCACCAAACTAAGGGCCACGCCCACCTCAAGCCCACCATGATTGGGGCTGGGATGACATTTTTTTAGAATAGGCACCTTTACAAGCCCAGAAATGGCACTGTCAGACTGCAAAAAATAATCAGCAACCAAAGTTTAGGTCTAAATAAAACAAAAAGATTTGTTTTTACTGAATTTGCGGAGATAAGTGAATTTCCAGGAGATTGCGGGAGACCATACCGAGTTCCGGGAGGCTCCCGGGAGTTCCGGGAGGCTCCCGGGAGTTCCGGGAGAGTTCCGGGAGACTCCCGGAAGTGTTCCGGGAGACTCCCGGGAGAGTTCCGGGAGACTCCCGGGAATTCCGGGAGACTCCTTTCAAACTACAATTCTTTCATTTAGAGGTGGCAAAGTACATACTAAGCTGCAGAGGTCCCAAGTTGGAAGAAGTCATTTCCAGGGAGATCTGTTTAAACAAGCTTTCTTTAGCACATCTAATTTTGTTTTGCTACTTATGGTGATACAAATGAGACAAATTCAGTCTTCAGTGAGACAAATGATAAGTAGTAAAATCATGCAGATTTAATGAATTTGCAGGAGATCGGTTATTTTCCGAAATTCTTGCGACTTGGAACCCCTGGAGCTGCAAGTACAGGCTATATGAGCTGCGAATAAAGATAGTCTGAGTAAAGATTGTCTGCGTTTATTCGTACGAATCACAGGAGCTACATAGTTGTGTTTTTAAAAAGTAGCTTCCTTCTTTGTGAATAATTGCGTATAATCGATTCTAGTTGCTGCTATAAATTGACTGCAACAGTCGTAGCAGGGTCATCGACGAGCAGGTTAACAGCATGATGCCCCCCATTTATACTCATGGGGTGAAGAGAGGCAAACGTAAAGTAAAGTATCTTGCTCATGGACACAAGAAATGCGACGAGCGTCAGTCTCGAACTCCCGATCTCATGTTCGACAGTCCAACACCTTACACGCTGCACCACACGTTCCCACACTTGTCTGCACTGTAGGTAAACAGAACCTAAGCTACAAGCACTGAGTGTCTCATCTTGATACCTGATCACTAGAAAGATTCCAGACTCCATCAACTTTACTGTACACTTGTTCCAGCGGTAGAAGTCGGACATTCTTGTTCTGAATAATTGCTGCACGAAGTTTGAGATCTCGGTACATCTTGGTTGTTTCATAGGCTCTGTTAAGTATGAATAAAGATAAAAAGATCAAAATAAAACATATTTTAACATTAAAGAGTTTGATAATAACTGTGTCGTAATATTTACCAACAAAAATAATAACAACAATAAAAATGCAGCTCGTACTAGGCTGCCTGGCTGACTCATTGTCACACAAGGGTAGCATTACCAAAACAGGCAGGAACATTGGCATGCATGCCATGTTAACAAAAACAGTTTATTAGCTCATATGGGATATACTGTAGGTCTCAAATTCAAAGGGTTAATCTAATTGTATAATAATGAGAACTTACTTCTGCACAGCCATGACAGTAGTGAAAAGTCTTGGACTTCCAGGAACCAGGTTAGTAAAAATGAACTCAAATCGTGTGTTGTTGCATTTTGTTAGGATGTACAGAGCATCTGTTGGACCACGTAATTTCTGGAAAAGACAATGGTAACAAACTGTTTTTAATAAAACCATTTTTACAGCCTCTTTTCAATATAAATTGGTTAATTAATCTCTATTTAAAAACACATTTCCAAGTCATTAATTTTCTCCTGATGAGTGGAGTTGAACAGCTTAGTGGTTAAGATGCTTGTCTATTAATCCCAGGGTCCTGGATTCAATTCCTGTGACATCAGGACTATTTCTCACGACCAAACACAACTCCACTCCTTAAGAATCATAAAGAGACTTCGCTGATAAAAGCATCAATTTGTTTATGTATTTAAGAGGGCTCCTGAATACCAGCCAACCTTCTAGGATACGCTGGAAGTGCCACCATCTATAAAGATGCTTTTAAAAAAAAATGCGGTTTCTAAATAAAACACTAAGATAATCTTGAAATAACTTGAAGCTTATGTTATTCTATATAATTACTTGATACTCACCGAGCTTCCTGTTCTGACGGTGACGTTAAGGACGCAAGTAAATCCAATGGCTGCAAATAATGAACAGATAACACCACTAATAATAATGATACTGCTGGGTATGTATTTAGTGGTACTTAAACAGAAAATCTCAAGGCATTTCTCAGTACAGTAAAACGTCTGTTTTACGAATGTCAATTTTACGAATAGTCGATTGTACGAATGGTCTTTGCTCTTGATGATGTCATCATCGACCAATTAAGAACGTAAAAAAAGTTTGATTGCGTATGTTTTTCAAAGTGATATTGTATATTTTCCTTATAAAATCAGGTTTGTTGTATGTATTTAATAGTTCAATAATTTTTTTTTCCATTTCTGCTATAATAATCGATATATTGGAGTAACAAACCTAACCAGAACAATGAAATACCAACGCGAGTCGTCGGATTGAGCGCACATGTTTACAATGATAGGCCCCCTACTTTAAACAAGTGTGTTGTGGTCAACAACCTATTAATAATGTGAAGGCTAGATGATAGCAAAATGCATGTAAACAACACAATTCAACGATAAACTACAAAGAACATGACAGGAAAGTCCATAAAACATACAGATGTATTAATAAGAATTAAAACAACACTTTTTTAAACAGCAGAAAGCCGGCGATTATAATAATATGGTTTTTATTGAGGGTAAATTTAGTTCTAGCACAGCTGCTATAACTGTCGGTTCGTGCCAGGACTGGCCGCCGTCAGGCTATTGGCGCTCAGTGGCAGTGGCAGAGGATAGCTAGGCCTAAGTAGTGGAAACTGACACCTGTTCTAGTTTACAAAATTTTTCAATTAATGAATACCCAACAATATCATAGGGGTGGGGCTTTGCACAGTGGCGGCACCAGGGGAGGGGGTCTACCGTAAACATTAGGTGAATCATACACGAAATACAACCACAGCTCCTCCACTGCAAAGATGCCTTACAAAGACAAAAGTGAAGTGGCAAGTGCAGGATTTCTTGAAATTGTAAACAAATTAATAAGAGGTATTCACTTGGTCAGTCTTGACAATTCTGTCAACCCTAATAAATATAGCTAACTAATGTGTCCTTAATGAGAATTGAAATATTAAGTTAGCATTTACAGGCAGTTATGATGAAATTACGCATATGAAATGTGCCATGAATGAGCATTTTATAGAGTAATATTCTATTTTGACTTTGTATACTCACATAAGTTGACCCTTGGCATAGTTGTGGAATGCCAAACAATTCTTAGATTTGTAACAAACAGTCTTCCTGCAAGAGAGAAGTTTCAAAGTATTTAAGACAATAGACTATGTTGACTAATGTAATACTATAGTCTAGTGTAATTGATAATGATTCAGTTACACTTAATTTATATTTAATTAGGTTATCGTAGTGTAAGTACAAAATATGTGGTTTATCCTACTAAATATTTTTCATTGTCTGTGAATGAATGAAGAAATTAATGAAATGACAGAATAAATGGATGATTGCATAAGCAAATAAATACTCTATGCAGGTAATTAGGTAGGGAGTTAGGTAGGTATGCACATGTAAGTAGTTAGTGACACAGATGTGTAAGTAAAATAACACTAAAGGCCTGTTTATACTTCAACGATAACGATAAAAAAGCGATTGTTCATTTTTACACTAGAACGATTCGATAACGATTTATCGTGTATACGGCAACAAAATATTTTAACAAATCAAATCAGATGACGTCATAATCAAGGAAAAACGATAAAATCGTTGCTACTATGATTCTAATGTTTTTCCATGATTATGACGTCATCTGATTTGATTTGTCAAAATATGTTGTTATTGCATAACTGATAAATTGTTATCGAATCGTTCTAGTGTAAAAACTTCTCTTA